TGGGACGTCATGGCATATTTACCATGTCACGACCTGAAAAATTACACAATAAAGATTCGCCAACTTCCATTGTTTAATGTAAACGTGAGTAAATCACAATATTAACATCATCTTCAAATCTCCAACATTTATAATTCATCAACCATCAAGAGATTTACAAAAGAATGCCCCACATGCAGTTATATATTTTACATTCCTAGAATATGAATCTATAGCATGTAGCAAGGAAGTTTAGTACAAATTAATTCCCTCAAGGGCTACAAATTCCAAGGCCTAAGGCAGGTTACACAAAAGTGATTTTAAACTCATACACATAAAGCCTTTAGCTTGTCAAAAATAATTACGACAAAAGAAAAGAGCCTTGTGCTCTCAAAACATATCCTATGCCTCTAACTCGACGGGATCACCACATCCTTTCATGCCCAAAATCCCATAGGGGTGAGCACAAAGCCCAGTAAGAAAATCTTCACAAAGTATGTACATTTTATACAATTTCATGGGATGAATGCATATTCCATGCCATGTTCAAAAACATACATCTCTACATTTTGAAAACTTTTGTGCACAATGCAATCTTGAGAATTTAACAATTCGATAATTTCAATGTAGTTCAAAGGGGTGTTAAATATAACTCAAGCAAATCCCTAGGATTAGTGTCTGTAAGTAGGCTTATCAGGCACTACCAAATCCTACATTTCCGGCTTCTAACTGGAGGGTTTAGGCACCTGTACGCGCGTATTTCTGGTTTTACACCAAAGACACTTAGGCCAACTTAATTCTTAAACTACACCCCCTAACAAGATTTTCCACCATATTTACCCCAAAAACAAATCAATATGATCTTGTTTCACAAAACAATTTCCTTTCTCAAAACAATACATTTTTCCAATGCAATATTCAAAATCCATTGCATTAATGATAAAATGGTATTGCGATACAAATATCCAATGCAATAATAAAGTTCTATTTAAACATCTCAACAGTATCAATTCGAAAGGTGGTGACAATTAAATCAAGTGCCAACACAATATATTTCTATATCAATATCTTGAAATTTCTCAATTTCTCAATTCATCCACACAATCCTCTATTGTGATCAAATTTCACATCTCTTATCAATATAACATCATAGTATATCTTTTCAAGAGATAATATAACAATATAAACATTCATGTATTATCTACATGTTAAACATCATTTTTAGCATTTGGTCTTACCAAAATAACACCAACAAGCTATCACTCAAGCTTTCCAATTCTACAATTTCTCATGAAATCTCTTCATTTGATACAATTATAGAATTTCCTCCATCATTTACTCACATAGTAAATTATCAAGTATCAATTTCATAATACCATAACCTTTTTTCAAAATTCCTAAATTCTAGGGTTTTCACCAAAACAAGGTTTTTACCAAAACAAGGTTTTTGTTCTATTTTTGAAAAGGTTTTTCAAAAACAACACCCATACCTTAGAACATACTCATATTCTCAAAAGCATTGGGAAAAGTAGATGAAATCAACTTCTAACATCATATAGGGTTCAACAACCGAAAATCATAACTCAAAACATGATAAAATACTCAAAACATGTATAAACGTGCACATATATATATATATATATATAACTCAAAGATAATCCCTACCTCAAGCTTTGAAGATGAAGAGGATGAAACCCTAGAAATCAAAGTCGACAAAAACACAATTTAATCGGTTATAAACGTAGCCCTCGTCGATTTGGTGTAAGAACCCCCCTCAAACTCTTGAAGATTTGAACTAAATCTTAGAGAGAAGTTGGATTTTTGGTGTGTTTTACATAAAAGGAAAAGAATAGATGGATATATATATATATATAGAGAGAGAAAGAGAGAGAGAGAGAGAGAGAGAAAAGAAAATCTGAGCCAAAAACACTTTTGGCATCAGTTTTGAGGAAAAGAGCACGGAAATCAAGACAGACACGCTGAAATCCACCTGAGCGGTTTCAATTCTACACGAGAAGAATTCCCAATCCGCACAAGTGGAATTTTTTTCCCTCATGGGTGGATTGCTCTAGCGAGCTACCTAGAAAATCCACCCAAAATCTGCTCGAGCAGGACCCAAAATCCTCTTGAGCGGTTTTTTGCCTAGAAAACTCATAGAAATTTAATGTATAAAGAGAAATGATTGAGAGATTGATGTGTTATATCTTTTACAATGATTCATGATTCCTATATATAGAAGATGGTGAGTGTGTAGTAGGTAAGGAGTAGGTGAAGTGGAGTTGGTAGTGGTGTAGTGGGTTAGGTTTAGTGGAGTTGGTTTAAGTGGGTGAAGTAGGTGGAGAGTATGTGGATTTAGTGGGTTAGGTTTAGTGGAGTAGGTTTAAGTGGGTGAAGTAGGTGGAGAGTATGTGGATTTAGTGGGTTAGGTTTAGTGGAGTAGTGGAGGTGGTAGTGGTGTAGTGGGTTAGGTTTAGTGGAGTAGGTTTAAGTGGGTGAAGTAGGTGGAGAGTAGGTGGATTTTAACAGAAAGGCTACCCAGAAGTATTTGCTTGAAATTTTGTTATGCTTAGTTTGAGAGCAACAAATTAATATTTTTTTGGTATGATTTATGTTTAGTTTTTTCTTTAATTAATATTATTATTTTTATTTTTTATTTTTTGCCAAGAAATACACCTTGGGAAGTTATTCTGGCATTAAGCACATGCTCAACTTATTTGGACCACAAGGACAGGCACTTTCTTTGGTATTAAATTCTTGTGTTAGTTGAAATTCTGAAGAGATTTTCTTTTGAAGCTTGATGTAGCAGTAAGATCTAACTATTCTTTTTTCTACAAAGATTTTAATAGCCCAGTGGTACGGAATTTTCTAAAACTATTTTAGTTTGGGTACTACACATGATTTTTTGGAAAAAGTTGAGTTTGGACTTCATTTTCTGCTAATTTCAGCACAATTTTCTTTGTTTGTCTTTTATTTTCAATGCCCAATCACATCTGGATGAGTGGTCATTATTTGTTTGATTCATTGTTCAAGTTTGTCATGTTTCCTGATCATATTCGTGTCTTATTAAGTTTGCACACAACTTAATGATCATTTTTAATGTTAAAATTGTGGTTACAGTATATGAGCAGACTTTACTATACACACAGAAAAATCTAACTGTTTAGTTTTTTTTTCCTTTTAAATTCTATTTTTGATATCATTGGCTAATATAATTGCACACAAATGGTAAATTAATCCCCATAGCGAAGTCTTAGGGTGTCAAATAATAAGTTAGACATAGGCTAATGTGGTTAAAGATTGGATTTAAGATCCGAAAAAAAAAAAAATGATACAATTAGATCTAACAGTTTGGTTTTGTGCTTTATTGTGGATTACGTAAGCAATTTTCAATGAATTTAAATTGGCCAATGAATTTAAAAGACAATAATTTCATACAGTTAGACTTTTCATTGCATAGTAAAGTACGTTTCATTGCTCTTTTAATTTCCTTTTCTCATTAGCCAATGTAATTGCACACAACTTATAATTTGACACAGTTAAATTGTACTATGGGTGAGTAATTGAAAACTGATGTTTAAAGAGGACAATTAAACGTGCTTCTAGGCATACATCTAATTGTGTGCATAATGAAACTTAACTGTATGAAATTTGACTTTATTCATTTTTACATTGACATTGCCATTATTGTTCAATTTTACTGTGAAATTTTTAAAAACTTCTTAAAATGGGTGTTAGACATGTGCTTAGGAGTATATCGAATTAATTTCATGAATTTTAGTGAAAATTGAATTTGAACCCCCTATTTTTGCTTTGCATGATTTTTTTGTTTTTTTTTTCCTTCTTGAATCTGTTTGGAGTTTCCTTATGAAATTTGTGGGCATCATAATCACATGTAAATGAGTGTTCTAAAACAAATTCATAATTTTCTAAAATATTTTGATTGCTTAGATTTATTGTAGAAGTACTCAAAGTTAAGAATTTTTTGTTCTACCTATGTTTTGTGTATTTCTTTATGGCTTCTTATCCCTTAAATGGTATGGAATTTTAGGAAATTATTGTGGGTGTTATACATGTGTTTAGGAGTTTCTTTACGAAATCTGGTGGAAATTTTAATTACATGTAAAGAAGTGCTCTTAAAAATTTTCATATTTTTCTAAAATTGTTTGGTTGCTATGATTTGTTGTAAAAGTTATATACAGTTATATTTTATTGTTCTAACTATCTATGTGTATTTATTTGCAGATTTTTTATCCCTTAAACAGTATGAAATTTTCAAATACTGTTTTATATGGGTTTTATACATGTATTTAGGATCCAGAATTAATTTAATGAATTTTGGTGAAAGTTGAGTTCAGACCCTTGTTTTTGCTATTTTCCGCACAATTTATTTTATTTTTTTATATCTCACAAATCTTTGGAGTTATCTTACAAAATTTGGTGGGCATCTTAATTACATGTAAAGGAGTGTTCTAAAAGAACTTCATAATTTTCTAAAGTCCTTTTGTTGCTCTGATTTCACTGTCCAGTTAAGTCTAATTGCACAGTGAAATCGAATTGTTTTGGTCTTTGGGAATTTCATGTTCAACATATATCTTGTTTGACAGATTTTGGAAAAGCAATCCAAAAATATCAATTTTATTAAAAATAGGTTGTAGAATTCAAGTTATGAGTTTATAGTTTCTAATACAAAATTAAATGCAAGGGGCATTATTGTCTTGAGAAAATAACTTGACTTATGGCCTTAAAAGTTTAGAGCATGGACTGATTTCCTTTTAAAAAGTCCAAAAAGTGGACTTACGACCCAAGAGCCCTTTTTTGTGTGTGTACACATGAACAAAAGTCAGTGCCTTAAGACAAATGCAGACTACAAGGGCCATAACCGAAACTATAACTGGAACGAAGCATATGCCCAAACTCTATTGTCAAAAACATTTGCATACTTTTGCAGCCAGGTCATCAATTAGCTTAGAAGCAACCTGAACTCAACAAATCTCTTCTGTGTATTTTTTAAATCGGCATGATAATTATATGCAGATATGCATGCAACCTTGGTGGAGCTAGTCATAGTGATATTTATTTTGTTTAAACAGGTCTTAGCTCTTCGTGGATCTTATCATGGTGATACTTTGGGTGCCATGGAAGCACAAGCACCATCATCTTATACAGGTTTCCTCCAGCAACCATGGTATGGGCATTTCTTACCAAGTGTCTTCATAAAAAGTTGTCTACCTTTAAATAATCCCAAAAAAAAAAAAAGAAAAAAAAGAAAAATTGTTTTCTACCTTTACCTGTGGATAATGTTCCTTGGGTCATGTTCTTTGCCTTCTACTGATGGGATACATACTACCACTGCTTGGCGTGTTGGGATTCCAGTGCCAAACATTTTGCTACATTGGTGAGACATGTTGAAACAGAATTCATGATTCTCTTTTTTTCTTCCAACAAATATGAAGACTAAATTTTGGATATGAAATTGTAGTGGTATTGTTAAGAGGACTTTACAAAATAAAAGAAGTGGGTTAATCTTAGGATTTAAGTATAGGTGGGAAAATTTATATATCTTGGACATTTAAATATATTTAGGCTAACTATGGTTAGGATGAAAATGGTGGAAAGTGAGGGAAATGGAAAAAATTAATTTTATTTTTTACTTTTTATAGTTTGTTTAGCATGAAAGTGCTGGAAGTTATAAGAAAGTCAATTTTCTTGTTCAACTCATGATAGCATGGTAGCTAAGCTTCTAATTTCTTGCAAAAAGAATAGGAAAATGCAAGAAAGTTTAAATTTGTTACAAAAGTAGTTACTTATAATTAGAATTCCTATTTTCTTGCAAAATTTTCATCTTAATCAAATTCATACAAGAAAATATATTTTCTTTTAATTTTCTTTTCTTTCACTTCACTTTCTACCATTTTCACTTTCCATCATTTATCTCTTTCTAATCAGACGGCACCTTAGGCCCCGTTTGGGAAGTTGGGTTTTTAGTCAAAAAATCAAAAAGCCAAAAAGCCACTACAGGTTGTCACATCACTCTCTGCTTTTCTGCACATTTTTTTGTAAAAATCCAAAAAAGCCAACTACAATAGCCAATTTCCAAACAGGGCCTTAGTGTAAGATAGATGTCAATAAGTAATTTTTTTTCTATCAAAATTTTATGTGTTTGCTAGGATCCTAGTTCGTATCTTTATAATTTGCTTTGTTAGCTTGTATCTATTGCAATTAGTTTATGTTTCGTATACTTGCCCGTGCAACATTGGCAATGATGATGCATGTAAGAGTGCTTGGCTATAAATGAAATCCTTTATGCTGTTGCTAAAATTTGGCACAATGGTCACAAGAAACTCTCTCCAACAATGTGCTATCTATCGTGCCAATTTAGCATGATATTATCCATCGTGCCAAATTTTGGCATGATGAATGTTTGGCCATTGACTTCTTTTAGATCTACTATATTAGCTCCCAAAAAATTTCATATAAAATTAATATGTATGTATTTTAAAATTAACCGTGTCATATTAAGAAAAATTTAATTCAAAATACAATTTGAAGGCATTTAGGAGGTTTTGAGGAAAGTGGTTCAGTTATTGATGAACGTAGAGGTCGTCTTAGCTTATCCGAGATTGATGTACGCAGAGCTAACGATTGTGCTAGTGATGTTGATCCTAGTTCGTCTATTTTGGAGGTTGGTGCTGCTAGAAAAAAAGAAGTTGATAAGAAATGGTTTGTTGTTATGGACGGTCCAAAATTTTCCAATGTTTTATGAAATGAAATCACGAGTGTAAAGAAGAATGACGATGCTGTTGATGATAAGGGAAATGTAATAAGTAAATAAAAGTTTGAGTGGTTACATAAATAAAATTAATAAAATTTTTCATTAATCATGATAATGGTAACATTTACATCAAACTATTCCCTCATTTTTGGGGACATTGCATCTAAACCAACTATTGTCCTCATTAGTTAATATAATATAAGGAATTCCTCCTCTAATACTTTTAATAAATACATGAAAGTCTCTCTGGCAACCTACTAAATTTTTCATTAGTTTGATTGGGACTGTTGAGTAGTTGATGTCGTCTATGACGTTGTAGACGGCGTCTTGATTATAGTTCTTGAAACTTATTTTGTCGGAGAAATAGTTTTGTTGTCCGAGACTTTTAGCCCAGGCGGTTTTTCCTGTTCTTGAAGGTCCTTCGAGGTAGAGGGATATTGGGCGGATGGGTCGTTATTTAGGATCCTATTATCAGAGGAGGAGGAGAGTTCTTTGTCAGTATGTAAATTGTGTATATCGTTATTGTGTGTCCCTAATCTGATGTTGTCGTCTTAACTGTATACGGAGAAACAACAATTTTGACATAGCTCGTATTTTATAAAATTCTAACTTACAAAATATTATTTTCTGCCCAATTTTTTTACTTCATTTAAAAAACGAAATGAATTAAAGGGGCCAATATATGGGGTCGTTCTCATTTGTAATGATCCCTCGAAAATGTTTTTAATGGGAGGTATTTGTTACGTAATCGGTGGGACATCTTTCTTTGCAGAGTGCAAAGAATTGTTCCTCCATTTCTGCTTCTGCAAGTATTCCCCGCTAGAGTTCATCTCTGTTCTTCAATGGACTTTTTCCCTTAGATGAAAATTCTTCCCATTTTATGAAATCGCCGCCTTTCTATATATACTGTCGACTTGCTATTGGAGAATGAAGTTTTTCTATATTTGGATGATAGATTCTCCCATTGGTTCTAGTGAGATCGAAAAATCTCTGGTTGGAGGTTTGGATCTTCTTTGTGCGTTAAACCATGGCATAAAAGTGAGGGTTTCCATCTTCGTGGAGCTCTCTTGCGAAATGTAGTATGGCTAACAGACTAGTTGGAAAAAGGATTGGAGGAGTTCTAAAAGTTGTTTTTTTGGGCAAGGGCATTGTGGGTGGGTGAGGAAAACATTCTTGGCATAGAAACGAAAAGAGGCTTGGCGAGACATTTTGTAGTGATAAACAGTAAACTCACACCAGCTGTACAAGGGTTTCCTATTAGTTAAAAAACCTGGTGTGACTAGGGGACGCTGGTCCCGTGCTGATCTGGGCCGTCCATTTATGTACTTGTAAACACGTGTATGGATGGGGTTAAAAGGAAGGCGCACCTGGGCCCAGGTGTGAGTGGTGTGAATACTTTTGATTCCTTTGCCGGATAGTGCTATACACGTGTCACGTTTGTGATGGTTTGCGTGGTTGTAACATAAAGATATTTTCAGAATGAGTGACATAAAGCAAAGTTTATGCTTTTGAATTATTTTGAATGGGGAATCTTCTTTCTTACTGATGTGCCGCTTTTGTTATTTATTTGATACTAGAAAATATTTGATGGTAGAAAGGAATATGCTTTTGTAGTGGGATAGCTATTGTGGTGATGTTTTTTGGTACCTTGTTTCGTCCCTCCTTTTCTGTCTTTCTTTTTTTTTGGTTGCATTGGTATACAATGTTGTACTCCTTAGAAGAGTATTCGAAGAATTATGGGCAGTTCACTCAAATGTGTGTAGATCGTTTTTTGACGTGGCAAATAGGACTGTGGGAAGAGAGCCGGCGGTCAGCTCTAGCGAAGTTTGTTCGTGGGTACGAGAAACAGAGGGAAAAAATATCAAAGCTAAAATATCTAAACAGAAGGGTTAAACAAAGCTAACAGATCCTATAGAAGTGTACGGATAAAAGATTTGGAGTTTTTTATAAAAAAAATAGGAGTAGTAAGTAGCCAGTATCAGATTCTCCTTGCGTACCGGTGGTCAAGGACACCGGCGGCCAGTGGATATAAGGGTAGTTACCGTGGTCGTGCACCTTTTAAGGCGGCATACATTCGCAAACGGTACGTTCAGGATATCCCCGATATATTAAGAAGACCAAGAGGGGAGTAAGGAAGTTACAATTGTACGATGAACACTTAAGGTGCGTTAAATTTGAGAACAAAGGTATAGCGAGATTACTGAATGGTATTGAGTTGGGTAATAAAAGATGTGACCGTCAATCAGACAAGATCGTGGTTAAGGGTATAAGATTAATTGGGAATGTTTAATTAGGACAAGAGAGGCTAAAGAGGAAGCTATGGTCCACCACGTTTTGTTTTTTATCATAAGTGATAATAGTCCGTCAGATTCCGTTCTCACACCTGATAAGATATTTATTGGAGTTGGTGAGTTAATCTTGAGACTTGGATTGTTGATCCTGATCAGTCTGCCAGGTTTCGGATGCTAAAGAAAATGAGATTCAAGCTCGTTGGTGGCAAAGACCAAGAGTATGTTCGTCACAGAATAGAAGTTGTGGACTGGTTATTCCCAGTTGATGTTTGGATGGACTATAAAGATACGTTGTTGGAAAATGTTGGAAGTATTCAAAAGGGTGCCATATGTTTAGGCTGCTACTATTAATGGAAAAGAATGCAAAATTACGTTAAAGAGTCAAATGTACTTTAAAATTGTTTAGAATTATAATTGTGTGTTTTTTTATTTGTAATGTTCAGGTGATGGAGGTGGACGATATAAAAACTAGTGTTGTTGAAGGAGTTTCAACAAGTGATTTCAGTTGTATTAAACTTGCATTACCTAATTTCTTTGCTCAGTTTAGGTTGAGATACAAACACCAAGGGTATTAAGGATGATAAAATATTCCTCCCTTTGCACACCCAATACCAGTGGGTTGGTCAGAGTAAATGTATATGATCGGAGGTTAGATGGTAATGACAGTTTGCAGGCGTATTTTGTTTTCCCTATGGATTGTCAGTGCGAATTAGTGTATTATGGGAATGGTTATTGTTCCATTAACGAAAAACAGGTGCTATGGATGGTGAAGTATCGACTCGAAGATTCGAATATTAAAAGGGGAGTAACGTATTGTAAAATGAAGGGATATTTGAAGTATTCTACGAGTGAAATGCCAGAAGATTCGTAGTTAAGGGTGCCATCTATTGTTGTCTTATCTAAAAAATATACGAAGCCGAATGTTTATGTTTGGCATTGTGTTCCAACTAAAATGCTTCCGATTCTATCGCGGACTAAGTCTGTTGGTTTATCTGAGAGGCGGAGAGATTTGCTGTTATGAGGTTTTGGGGAAAGTGGTTCAATTATTGATGAACGTGGAGGTTGTCTCAGCTTATTCGAGATTGATATACGCAGAGCTAATGATGGTGCTACTGATGTTGA